CTGAAAGTGAGAATAGGGAAAAGAAGTGGATTTAGTTTATTCAAGTCTTTTTGAAAGTTAGGGGCAATGTTGTATTTCCTTCAGGAAAAATGAATGACATTGGAATCTTGTTCCATCTTCTTTTGTTGTGTTAATCTTTATCCAAGGATATTTTTTCATTGACTTTTAGATAGAGTGGAAGGGGAGGGAGGGGGAGAGAGAGAAATATCCATATGAGAGAGACACATCGATTGGTTGCCTCCTGAGGACTCGGACAGGGGCCAGGGGCCAGGGATTGAACCTGCATCCCAGGTACATGTCCTTGGCCAGGAATTGAACCAGTGACCCTTCATTCCAAGGGTTGATGCTGTAACTACTGAGCCAAACTGGCCAGGGCCTGTCTTCTTATTTTAAAGTATGGACTTTCTAAATTAATTTAGGGAGTAACTTTTAAGTTTTATGTAAAACCTTTTTTTTTTTTTTTTTTTTTTTGGTTTTGGTATACAGCACACAGTGAGAACCTTTAAAATTACCCATTTGTATAGCTCTTAATTTCAGAACATGTTCATGCATATTACTTTACTTTCTTGATTCTAAGAGGTCGTTATTTGTACAACACCCCCTTTGATTCAATAACTTTCTTTCTTTTGAGGAGAATCAAATACTTTTCTTGGGGAAGGCAGGAACATTCTATCTATCCTGTCTAAGGATTATTCTGAATCACTTTTAGCCATAGGCATTACAGCCACATGCTGCCCCTGGCGTCTGATAATGCTGCCCCTGGCGTCTGATACTTTTAGGATTGATAGCATAATTCTGAGTCACATTCAAGAATTGTTTTGGCTTAGTTTTCATTTCATATTTAATTAAACTTACAGGTTTTTATTTTTACTAATGATATTGTAGAAGTTAACTACTCTTGGAAGTTATCTAGAAGAATTTAACAGAAAGGATTTGGTACCTGCTCAGAATCATCACTTAGTAAACCTTTTAAACATAAATGAACCACATGTCACAGGCAATTCTATATACATAATAACTTTTAATTCCAATGCTGCATTATAGTGATCTTTATAAAGACATTTCAAATAATTAGGGATTTATTAAAACTGAACTGTGTATGGTTCCAGCAGTACAGATAACTGAGGTGACAGATGAAAGGCATGTTCTTTTTTTACAAAAAATATTTTTAGAAAGAGAGGGAGTAAGAGAGAAACATCAATGTGAGAGCAGAACATCAATCAGCTACCTCCCTGCATGCCCCTTACTAGGGACTGAGTCCACAGTCCCAGGCATGTGCCTTAGCCCGGAATGGAACCATCAACCTTTCAGTGCATGGAAGAATACCCAACCAACTGAGCCATACCAGCCAGGATGAATGGCATATTCTTCGTCATGACTAAGTTCATACATGGAAAGGCAGTGACAAGGTATTATAACCTGTGTAATGACTGGCAGGCGTTTTTTTTCTATTGTTGTTGTTTTTGGATATCTACTATAAGACTTATCTTCATTTAAAAAATGTTAAAGTGAAAAATATGCATTGTAGAGTTGAGAAAAGAGACTATTTTATAAAAATTTCCCTCCCAAAAACTACATAAAGAAGACAGAGTAGGCATTGTTTAGTTTACTGATTAATGGAAAGAATATAAGTGTTTGATACTTAAGGTTACATAATAAGTGGTAGGTTCAGGATTATAAACCAGGCCTTCAAGTCTTCCAGGTATATGTACTGTACTGTACTACCCTTTCAACAATAAGTTAGTAAGGATTAATTCAATTTAATGAGATTTATTTATTCAACATATATTTGTTAAATGCTATTTATGTCAGGCATTATGTTAAATGATACTGTTAACAAGACAGATAAAGTCTGTGTTCACGTAATCAACAACTTTGCAAAATACTGAAACTAAACAAATAATTACAACTAAGATAAACGTTAAGGTAGAAGTTATAAGGTAATATGAGAGTATATAAGAAGCAAACTTAACCTGGCCTGGAATGATGGGGAGTTTGATGGTCAAGTCAGGGAAGGACAAGAGAAATAATTTTTAGGCTGAGATGGAAAGAATCAGCATGAGTCAGAGTGTTGCAGGTAGCAGAAATAGTATCTGCAAAAGCAAAAGGAAAAACAGAAAGGATTCCAGTGTGGCTGAGCTGTGAGAAGGAGAAATAAAGGTGGAGAGGAATGCAGGAAACCAATTATGTGATTTTGTTCAGAATTCTGGCTTTTAGGATATTGGGAAGCTATGGAAAGGTTTTAAGCAAAGGTGTAATGTGGTTAAATTTTCATTTGAAAAACAGGAATCTGACTGCAGTGAATGTAGAAGCCTATTTCTAGAAGCTGTTTCTGTAGACCAGGTTGAAGATTATTGATACAGTGGTGGAGTTGGAGAGAAGGGTATAGATTTGAAATTTGGGAGGTAGACAAAGCCTAGGGATTTGACAGAATTATAAAACTAGTATTGTTGTTATTCCATCTATAGAATTGATTGCAAGCTCATCTCCAAAATTCTTTCAGTAACTTTTGCTTAATGTTAGGAAGTGACTATATTATAGAATATAATTTAGAAAGTATTGTTCCTTAAAAAAGAATTTGTGAATTTAGCTAACTCCTATTATGTGATAGATTCCATTAAATAGTATAGGGAGAACTTGGTTTCAGAAGAGAACTTGACATCTTAATGTATATGGTAAAGCACATAAGCAATTTTGTACATGCATGATTTGTATATATCTAGTGCATTTTGTTCATATCTCTTATGATTTGAAAGCTGACTGAATATTTAATATTTTCCTGTTCTTAGTGGATTGGTCAAAACTTAGGTATAACTCATTTTGTTTCAAATAGCATTCTATTAAGAAACACTTTTCCCCCATAAAAAAGAGGGATATCTTAACCTTTTGCAACAGCGTGGATGGACCTGGAGAATATAATGCTAGTGAAATAAGCCAGTCAGATAAAGATAGATACCATATGATCTCACTTATATGTGGAATCTAATGAACAAAATAACTTAAACAAAGTAGAAGCAGAAGCACAGATATGTAGAACAGACTGACAGCTGTCAGAAGGGAGGGAGTTTGGGGGGACTGGGTGAAAAATAGGTGAAGAGATTAAACAAACAATACACACACACACACACACATACACACGTGAGCGCGCGCTCGCGTGCACATGCAGAACAGTTTGGTTATAGCCAGAGGGAAAGGGAGGGTGGTAGGAGGTGGTGACAGAGGGCAAAGGAAGCATAAATGTGAATGGAAGGAGACTTGACTTTGGGCAATGGGCCACACGGTGCAGTATGCAAGTGTTTTGTTGAGTTGTACACTTGAAACCTGTATGGTTTTGTTAATCACTGTCACCCCATTAAATTCAATAAAAAGAGAAACTTTTTCCTTTATTATAAGAATCTATTGCTGCATCTAGAAATAGATTTCTAATGAACTAGAAGATTCAGGAGGAAAGAGTTTTAGAAGCATACCTCCTTGAATTCCTTATTAAGTACTTTATTAACTTAGCCAACAGTATTTTTTGCATATTTATGGCATTATTAGTCTGTTTATCTGGGGTAGCAGAGTCAAATACCTGAAAGGGCTTTGACTGTGAAGAATTAGACTACTTAGGGAAGTAATAGGACACTGGGATTCTAGAGAGTTAATGCATGTCTCAGGGGGTGGGAGACGACTAATGTTCTGTTTCACCTGATTGTGGCCCTCTGAGTATTCAGGCTGATTGTTGTCAAATTTTTCAGTTTTGCAAAAGGATCCTGAAATAGATATTTATGTGAATTAGTTGGTCACGAATTCATATGTTTTCAGAACACTCCATCACTACAGGGCAAAATATGCCCATGGAATATAATTGGTTCATAGGCCATGCACTTTACAACCTCTGCTTTATAGAGGACTTTAACCACTATATAAATACCTATATAAAGGTAAAAGGTCTAAATGATTTCTAGGCAAATTAAATGTCAAAAGAAGGAAGGAAAGGAGATTTTTTTCAATAAGAAGTACAAAACTTTCTAGGTTGTATTTTTAGTTTAAATTAGTTCAAAGAGAAATTCACTGTTTTAGGAGTAATTTTTATATGCTTAACAGTATATTTCTAGCAACTTCAACTATCTGAAATTGATAATTGGGAACTTAGAGTGGAATGGGAGTATGCAGGGTATAGGAAGTAAATGAACTATATAGATGAGAGTCTCGTGGTTCTCTCTTAAACAGGAATAAAGTATAGCAGAAACAAGAGGCAGTTGATATCAGAGAGAAATCAGACTGTATGAATATAGCAATCTGAATATATCATGGACATAAGAAATCATTACTGTATTAAAAGCATAATTTGACTTTTATATTAATGATCAAGAAGAGGTGAAATTGTTTTGTGTACTCTGACATTTTAAATACTCCCCTCCCCAATAACACAAAAAATACACAATCATTATAGGCAATTAAGAAAATACAGAAAAGTAATATAGCACTTTTCTTTAAAGCCAAGAACAGGTAAAATAGAGTTTTTAATTTCCTAAAAGTATTTAAATAGCTGGGCACTTATTAATTTCCTAATAACTAATTATTTTCAAATTAGTTTAATTTAAATTTAAAAACATATTAATTGGCTCACATAAGAAAGTACCAGAAAGTAAGTTAAGCCAGTGGCTCAATGATATTTTGAAGGACTTAGGTTGTTTTTCTTCTCTAGTCTTTCTACCCCATATTGCCATTCCCCCAACACTGTAGTTTATAGATGGCTACTGATTGGAATCAGGGTTATGTGTTTTATTTCTCCTCCAGATCCAAAGAGAGAAGTAACTTCTCTTGGATTTCTTATAAGCAATATAGCTTTGTTTTTCCCTTAAGTAGTTTCCCTTCACTCCAGCCCTCAGCTTGTCTCTCAGTGGCTTAAATTTGCCTACTAAAATTTCTCCATTGGTAAAGAGGAATGGGTTTATCATAAAAATATATTAGAGTAATTAAGTAATTAGAGTAATTAAGTTTCAAATGGTCTACCTTTGTACCTCAGGGTCAGTCAGCTTTCCCTAAGGCACATTGAATTTTGGGAGACACTTGGATATAAATCAAATTATGATCATTATCAAAGAGGGAGCTTTGGATAGACACTCAACCTGGTGCACTTGCAGGTGTATGAAGAGTACATGTTATCCGAAATTTTTACTTGAATGAAACGCCACCTTCCTCTCTCAAGCCCAGAAACTATAAGGTGAGTCCTTGGTGAATCTACTTTCTGTCTCCTGTGGTCTAGCACACTGACTAGCAAAACTTTTGTAGATTCTGAATTGAGGATATTTTTGTCTAAAAATTCTCGTCACTTAATGGACACCTGTCCGTAGAATAAACTATATGGGCCATAAATGAAGTTTGTTTAGGAAAATACAGTTTCTTAAATAAGCTTTACTTTTAAATAATATATATTCTATTCCTCCTTTCCAAAGGATTTGTGTTCTCTAATCTCTATAGAAGTGTCATCCTTATTATCTGATTATAATGGTGAAGTTTAATTTATGAGATTATTTATAAAGCAAAAATAACTGCTTGTTTTTAAAGTTTTAAAAAGCTTTGTAAAGAAAATGCTAATTACATGTTTATTTATTTATCATTTAATTTATTAGGGTACAGGTTTCAAGTGTACAACTCAATAAAACACTTGCATACTGCATCGTGCACTCATCACCCCAAGCAAAGTCTCTTTCCGTCCCCATTTTCCTCCCCTGTTTGCCTATCTCCACTACCCCCTAGCCCCCTTTCCTCTGGCTGTTACCACATTGTTGTCTGTGTCTGTGCATTATATGTATGCATGTATATACATATGTATGTGTGTATATATCTATATAGTTTTTTGCTTAATCCCTCCAGCCCCCCAAACCCACCTTCCCTCTGCCAACTGTCAGTCTGATTCATCTAACCAAGTCTCTGTTTCTGTTTTGTTCGTCAGTGTATTTTATTCATTGAATTCCACATATAAGTGAGATCATATGATATTTGTCTTTCTCTGACTGGCTTATTTCACTTAGCATAATAATCTCCAGGTATATTCATGCAGTAACAAAGGGTAAGATTTCCTTTTTTGTTATGGTTGCATTATATTTCTTTCTGTAAATTTACCATAGCTTCTTTATCTACTCGTCTACTGATGGACACTTAGGCTGTTTCCAGATCTTGGCTATTGTAAATAACACAACAGTGAACATATGGTGCATATATTTCTTATAATTAGTGTTTCAGGATTCTTAGGATATATTCCCAGGAGTGGGATCACTAGGTCAAAAGACAATTCTATTTTTAATTTTTTAGGAAACCCCATAGTGTTTTCCACAGTGGCTGCATTAGTCTGCATTCCCACCAACAGAGCACCAGGGTTCCCCTTTCTCCACATCCTCATTAGCACTTATTGTTTGTTGGTTTATTGATGACAACTATTCTGGCAGGTGTGCGGTAATATCTCATTGTGATTTTAATTTACAGCTCTCTGATGGTTAGTGACATTGAACATTTTTCATATGTCTGTTGGCCATCTGTAGACATTTCTTTGGAGAGGTGTCTATTCAGGTCTTTTGCCCATTTTTCAATTGGATTGTTTGTCTTCCTGGTATTCAGTTGTGTAAGTTCTTTATATATTTTGGAAATTACTTCCTTATCCAATGTTTCATTTGCAAATATGTTCTCCCTAATTACATATTTTAAGTACCTATCATTTTGAGCAAAATATTTAACCAGCTGGCCATATATTTCATTTTCTAAATATTAGCCAAATATTTTAGTATCTGGGTCACAGAGTCATTACAAACAAATATAGGCCAACATGGTTTATCCTTCTCAGTTGCTAGCCTAATTCTCTGTTTGACCATGCTCTGACTTCATTATTTGGGTCTCTTTCAACTAACCTTTATTTATTTTTGCACAGTACTATGTTAGTTCTTTGTATATAACTGGTCTTTTTTTTTTTCCTCCTCCTTAATCAAGCAAGGTAACAGAACAAATAACTACCCTCTTGGCTGCTGTGTTTTAGAACTGTTGCTATACAAAGGGTCACACATGTTAAATTACCAATTGCAGTGCTAATTATTGGGCAAAACCTTGTTTCAAAATGCTAAAGAGGCATGGAAACATGGACTAGACTGATGAATCTCAGAGGGGAGGGTGGGGCGGGAAGAGATTAACCAAAGAATTTCTATGCATGTATGCATTGCCCATGGGCACAGACAATAGGATGGTGAAGGCCTGGGGCAGGGCAGAGACCAGGTGGAGGGGGATGGAGGGGGCAATAGGAGATAAAAAGGCGGGACATCTGGAATACTCTCTACAATCAAGATTAAAAAATAATGCAAAGAAAATTGCTAGAGAAATTGTCTTTTGGTGCAGAAACTGTAACATTTCTTAAAGATTAAGCCTGTATGTAATTCAGTATTGAGAGTCTCAAAATTCCTAAAGACCCTGCAAAAAATTTAAGTGTAAACTTGTTCTACCTTGTCATACTAGATGGTATGGCATTTTTCTTTATGTAAAATGAGAAGTCATAAGTGTTATAATACTGAGATAAGGGAAGGGAGGGGGAAAGAAGAAGGGAGTAAATTGGAGCAACAAAAATTTTACCTTCATTTTTAAGTACAGTAGGCTGCAAAATTCTATTTTGAAATACTTTTTTAAAGTGTTGTAGTTTACTGGAAGCTTGTGTTAATATAGTTTTCCTTTTCTTAAAAATAAGAACTTTATACCTTTTGGAATTTGTAATATTTTTTTGCTAAATTTTGAATACTTGATTTCATACAACTATCTTATTTTGAAAGTATAAAATGATAGCATGTATATTTCTTGAAGAAAATTAATAATTTATTCATTTAGTACTATTGGACATTTAACAAATATTTCCAGATGAACATTGTTTACCTTCTTTGATTGCTAAAACATTTTATCTTGACCATTCTCATTGTAAAATATATTAGAAAGCTTTATATATTTTAATGACCTTGGATTGTTGATGAATGTTTGTTAATACAGTGTTTTTTAAGGGGATACTGAGGTATGTCCTTACATTTGTTCTTAAATTTCTCAGTAGCTATTGTTGCTTTGAGATTTTGTAAATAGTGATCCTATTTTTCAAAGTTTAATGTTAATTCACATGGGTACTAGCATACAGATAAGGGTATCTGAGTAAAGTAAGAGAAAGAAGTTTCTTATAGGTTACAGTCTCCAAGAGCACTTCAATGAGGAAAGTACTGGTGCTTTATGTTCACTTTTATTTCACTTGATGCCTACCTTCTGTCCCTGGAGCCTGCCCCTTATGCCCCAGCCTTAAAAATAAAAAAAATAAAAAAAAGGAAGCAGGGTACTTGGCAGTGTTCCAGATAATTATTGTACAAAAGATAACTGGATTATTCAGTAGCTCCAGAATCTTAGGCAGGTTCACAACAATAAAATGGGCATGTAATACCTATTTCCTGGGTTGTGATTGAGGATTAGAAATAATGGATTTTAAATCAAGGTATTTTTAACATGTGGTTTCCTTTTCTTATGTTTTAAGGTAAGTGACCCACTAATTTGGAAATGACATTTGCCTATTTTAGTATAATACCAAGGATTAATGAATCAATTGTCCCTAAAATACAGGACTTTTTTAAAAAAGATTTTTATTAAGAAATAGATGGTGTATGACAAGATATTGTTGATTAATTTCATCATATGATTGAAATGTGGCAGAATATTTTTAAAGTCTGGAAAAATGCAAATTCGGATGGAAGAAAAAATAAAATGTGAAAAACATCTTGTTTTAGCTAAAAATACTAAATTGTGTTGAAATATTTTATTAATATCTCCAAAGAGTTTATAAGCTAGTAAGTGCTATTTTTTTTTTACTGAAAAGGTAAATGTTAATCTCTATGCCCATGTATACAATTTTAAAAACCTAGAATTTTTAGGCCATTTTTTAAAATTAATTTATATTTGTTACAGATATTTCTCCTTTTCTCCCCATTGACACCCTCCTCCTCATCACCCCCACCCAGTCCCCAGCATTGTTGTCCATGTGCATCGGTTATGCGTACATGCATATAAATTCTGTGGTTTATCTCTCCCTCCCACCCCCTCTTCTGGGGATTGTCAGTCTGTACCCCATTCCACGTCTCTGGGACTACCCTGTTCCTCAGACTGTTATGTTCATTATATTCCATAACTAAGTGAGATCATGTGATATTTATTTTCTCTGCTTGGCTTGATTTGCTTAGGATAATATTCTCCAGGTCCCTCCCTCCATGTCGTCTCAAAGGGAAAAAGATCTTTCTTTCTTTCTTTTTTTTTCAATCCTCACTGGAGGATATTTTTCCATTCTTTGTTCATATAGAACTGGAAGGAGAGAGAGAGAGAGAGAAACACCGACGTGAAAGGCACACTTCAAGTGGTCGCCACCCGCACAACCCAACCAGGGCCAGGGACAAACTGCAACCTAGTACATGCCCTTAGTGGGAACCGAACCTGGGTCTCACCGGACTACAGGCTGACTCTCTAACCACTGAGCCAAACCCGATAGGGCAGATCTTTCTTATAGCTGCATAAGTACTCCTTTGTGTATATGTACCACAGCTTTTTTACCCACTCATCTACTGATGGACACTTGGGCTGTTTCCAGATCTTAGCTATTGTAAATAGTGCTGCTGCTATGAACATGGGGGTACATATATTCTTTCTGATTGGTGTTTTTTAGGGTGTATTCCTAGAAGTGGGATCACTGGGTCAAATAGCAATTCAATTTATAAATTTTTGAGGTAAGAGCATAGTGTTTTTCATAGTGGCTGCACCAGTCTGCATTCTCACCAGCAGTGTACTAGAGTCCCCTTTTCTCCACACCCTTGACAACACTTGTTGTTTGATGATTTGTTGATGGTGGCCATTCTGACAGGTGTGAGGTGATACCTCAAGTTGTTTTAATTTGCATCTCTCTGATGATTAGTGATGTTGAGCATTTCTTCATATGTCTCTTAGCCATTTGTATGTCCTGTTTGAAGAGATGTCTATTTAGTTCCTCTGCCCATTTTTTAAATTGGGTTCTTTGTCTTCCTTTTTTTGAGCTGTATGAGCACTCTATATATATTGGAAGTTAACCTCTTATCTGATATATCATTGGCAATGATGCTCTCCCATATAGTAGGTTCTCTTTTCATTTTGATGGTTGTTTCTTTTGCTGTGCAGAAGCTTTTGAGTTTGATGTAG